ATATGTGTAAAGAAGCCAGCTGCTTGTATTTTTGTATTTCACTCCTTTGTTATTTTGTTCCCAAATTTAGGTATTTTCTATGTATCTTTTACTCATCGTCCATTCAGGAGGCCTACCGGAGCGTGGTCGAGAGCGGAGGCGAAGATGTGGACGTGGCGGAGGGCGGGAACTCGAGAATGTAATCAAAGTCCATGCTGAAAGAGAAATAACAATGCAAGGTACGTTTTAAATTAGTCTACTAAACCAAATTTGGAGTTGTTAATTGTAAAAGCGAGATAATTCATTTAAGTTTGAAGATTCGTTTTAGTTTTAAAAGAATTTATATAAAAAATTAAAATTCATTAAATAAATTTAGATATAATACTCGTTTAAATTTTGAATCAAATTTTAAATAAAAATTTTAAAAATTAATTGATCCAAATTCACATATATAAATTTTTTATTTTTATATATGTGAATTATATATAAATTAATTTATATATATAAATATTAAAAATAAAAATTATAGACATTTTATTTTTAATTTATACATATATAATTTTTATTTTTAATATTTATATATGTGTGAAGTAAATATAATTTAATTATATTTGTTAAAAATTTTATTATATAAATTAAATTTAATTAGTACATTTAATTTTTTTAATTTAAATCAAATTTAAAAAAATTTAAATTTTAAAATTTCAAATCAAATTAAATTTAAATAAATATATAAATTATTAATATTAAGCGTAAACTCTACCAGTACCCAACCCGGTCTGCCTCGTAAACTCTTCTAAATGCGAGAAAGGAATGAGAATTTTGAACTTTGACCTTTATTATTTTTATGGAAAAACAAAAGCCGTTAAACCTTAAGTTTGAACAGTAAATGTTAGACAAATATCGAAGCGGGTGACGTTAAACGAGTCCGCCGACGCCAACGACACATTGAGATATTGACCAACTATTCCACAACAAGGATTGATGTTATGGGTGGGGTAAGCTTGAAACTAAAAAAAGTGGACACATGGAAGTCAGTTAAATCGTCTAAAAAGCTAAAATCAGAGCTCATCACGGCCCAATTCAGGCTAAAACTAGTCCAAAGATGAGATCCCACATGAAATTCTGTCAATCCTCAGCTTTAGCGTCGATTTTGTTTATTCGAAGTTATCAAGATTTGAATATCCGACGATTGGCATGGTCTCAATTTTGATTGTATGCAGCAACGGCTGTCAGTTTATAATCCTTCAAGCCACCCATGGCAAGGCTGTCAGTTTGTCCCTTGCTTTGGCCTTGGCACTGTGCAGACCTGTCAATGGCCGTCTGGTTTGTAGCCCTCTGATCTCCTCTTTTTCCCTGGAGTTCTTGTTGTCTCTTTCTTTAGCCACACTCGCTTCTAAATCCCATATATATGTGTAGTTATTTCACTTCCGAGAGATATATGGCAGCTGATGAGCTCACCCATGGCAGCTGATGCCCCATGATTGAACTGTAAGTGATCGCTACCGCAAGTTTATCACTATCCATGGTCTATTACTTGGTTCTCAATTGAGGGGCATTCCCTTCGATATTGATTGGTTCTTGATTGCTTTTATTCATTTGAATATCATGGTTCTGACTTAAATGAATCCTTGGATTGATTTCACAGGGTGAATTGCATGATGAAAAAACCAATGAATCTGTAAGATTCTGATCTGCCTGGCTCCCTGGATGCCAACTAAGGATGCTGTCAACAATGATTGGCCCTTCCTAGCTGGCATCAGGGAAGTCAAGCAGGTCCAAAATCAAACAGATTTTGTCATCATTTCAGGTATTTTATACTCTTAATTGCACATGCTTTTCTTGTTCGCAATTTCTCTTCGGACAAGTTTTTGTTTCTTCCCTCCTTTTTGCTACTTTTGGTTCAGAACATCCTTAATTTGCGTTGGAAAAAGGGACAAAATTTATATGAAAATATTTAGATGAAGTTTGAAAATTTTTTAAAAAATATAATTTTAAAAAAAATTAAAATTGATAAATTAAAAATTTCAATATGAAGATTATAAAAAATTTACTAAAAATATGTTTATAATCAAATTTGATTTATACTTATTTAATGATAAAAATTTTATCAATATTTTTACTAAAAATATCTATTTAAAAATTTATATCAAAATTTATTAAATTTCTTTCAAAATTTACACATTTAATTTATGTAATAAAAATTTTTAATTTATCAATTTAAATTTTAATTTAATTTCTTTTAATAAAAAATTTTCATAAACTTTGTCTAAAACACTTCATTTAAGTTTTTTCCCGAAAACGCCTAACAATCCAGTTTAGCAGTTTTTGCTGCTAGTTGACTCAGGCCTTTCCTGTGTGAGAGGGCAAGGTAGCCCAACTAATTAAGAGGCAAGCTTGAGATTGGCCCGACTCATTTATTTAATTATTGTTTTATTATCAAAATAATAAGATATTATCTTATTTTTAATATTTTAATTATATTTAAAAATTAATTGTAAATATATATTATTTATTATTAGAGTAATTTAATCGAATTGAAGTCCAGCTTAAAATTTCTTACATAATAATTCAATTTAAAACAGGTTTTATGAGGCACAACGCATTTTGTCTTTATGTAGAGATTGGCAAATTTATTTATCAAGATTTTTAATGATAAAAAAAATGATCAATTGGATATTTATAAAAGCCAAATTGAAAAATTTTAAGGAAAAAATTTTATCCATACTTTTATAATTAATATTGGTATTTAAAGGTTTTTAATACTAAAAATTTTTTTAAAAACATAAAATATTTATAGGCCCTTCGTCCTTTATTGAATGTTTACCATTCTTTTATGAATACCCTCGACTATGTTGACTATTCTTACCTTTTTTCATATTTCATTTATTTTCTAATAATTTTATAAATTTCTTGAAATTGCAAAATTATAATTTAAGTATTTTAATAAAAAAAGTTTAAAAACAAAATAAAAATCATTACAATAAGAATCGATGAATGAGAGGAATCCAAGTGCTAAGTGCAGCGTATGAGAATTTTTATTTTTATATTTAAAATTATCAAAATTTAAGATTTATTTAAATTTTTAATATTTTGTTAATAAATCACGTAATTATTGAATTGATTATGATAATTTTTCTATTTTTTCTTTTGTCTTATAAATAATTTGACAATTTCAAATAAAATATAATAATATAATATAAAAAAAACACGAATAAAAAATATAAAAATTATATGATTTAAAATTTTAATAAAAATTATAAATAAATTTTAATAATTTATACTTTAGTGTGTCTATTCAAAAAAAGTTTGATAAAAGATCTTTCAGCTATGTAACATTGATAAAAGAATAAGAAGTTAAACACAAAACTGAGTTGAGTAAAAACCAGATTAAAAGAGAATGCTTTGATCTCAATTCTATTGAGAATTGCTTAGAACGCAAGTATATATTTCATATGAAGGAAAAGGAATTAGAGAATATTCAAGCAAAGGGAAATGACGACTGTACAAATGGTGAACAAAATCAATGAAATTGTAGGATACAGACCATATGGATTGAAACATATTACAGGAGATATGGTAAATAAAAAATTCAGTGAAGATTGAAATCTGAATATAAAACTTATAGAATAAGCTGTTAACGAATTGTTTTTTTTTATTTGTTATGTTGTAAAACAATTATATTATAGTAAATTCTTATTAACTTTGAATGAATAAAAATTTAGTTTATCAAAAAATATATATTTTTATATTTTAAGTTAATATAAATTATGATATTTAATTTTGATATAAAATAACATAAAATTTTAATTTATTATGTTAAACAAATACACGAATTATTATGAACGTGATTTTTTTAAAGTTTACAAGACTTTAGACCAAGTCAGTCGTCACTGCTGAGACATGATGGAGACTGGCAGAGGCTATCGCTTTCTCGCGTGCATTAACTTTTGCTACGTCTTCCTCGGATATTTAAAATTGTTAGAAATAAAAAATAAATAATTAAAAGTTGGTGAGATAAAAAAAAAATTCGTGATGACACTAAGTGAAAAACATTTAAGATACATATAACTACAGGACGTCGGAGTTTTATATTTTGGAGTGCTTTCTTGATCATCAAACTAGTAATTGATAGGAAAATATTTAAAAAATAAATATATATTACAAATAAAATTTTAATAAATCTCACATAATTTTAAATTATAATTAATTAGTTATAAAAAAAATTATAAGGATATGCTCTCTTTAAGATTGACAATTGCCAATAGATAAAATATAAGGTAATTAGAGGTATCTAAATTCAACCTAAAAATTTATACATTAGAACTTAAAAATACTCAATAAAAATTTAATCCAGCATATTTAGTTAAAAATGATACAGAAATTTGAAGATAATAATAAATTTAAATATTTTTAAATGTATTTAATGATTAAAATTAAAACAATCAATTAAAATAAGATTTATATTTATATATTTTTTAAAATTTACAAGCCAAAGCTTGCTTTCTTAACCTACGTACGAGAGCAACTTTTATTATTCTTTTAATTCAATGATTAAGCTGTATAAAAAAGATAATATGATTTTTTTTAATAAAAATGGATTCGATTTCATACTTTTAATGTATAATTATTTTTTTTTTCAAAAGAGAATACAAAAATTAAGAATAAAGAATGAAATCATGGCGCCGAAATTTATATTGACGTACGTTTCCTAAAAAGCAAACTCGATTTCTTAACTTGTGAAAGCAACTTTTATTATCTTTTAATCCAGTGATTAAGTTATAAAAAAAAGATAATATGATTTTTGTGAATGAAGTCTTCCATTTTTTATGAAAATGGGTTTGACTTCAAATCTTTAATACATAATTATTAAATAATATTTAAAGCTAATCTAGCACATTAATTCCATTTTGAGTGTTCATTAAAGGAAAAGAAAAGTTATAGTTATCAAACTAAGTTGCAAAACTTGGGAATTAGGAACTTATTATTAGTACTTAACTCCACTGTATAGCTTAATTAAATTATTAAAATTCTTAAACTTTGCAAATGGATTTGATAATTGACATATTTGTTCATGAATTAGAAATAAGGATATCATTAACTTCAGATAATTGTGGAGTTTAAGAACTCAAATACCAGTATATAAGATAATAATATGTAACAGAATGAGAAAACACAGAATGAAACAGAGATGAGAACCTGAAATTTCACTCCAGAATTAACAATATGTAATTATTCAAAATAGGACACATCAACCAACACCTTTATTGGATTTTCACTATCACAAAACCCAGCCCACCACAGCCCTCTCCCACCCCTTGTTTTCCCACCATGCATGATAAACTATTGCCTGTCTAACTTTTATACATCCCCAGGATATAAATGAAACACTTTTTTTGACATGATAATGAGCTGCAGACAATTTAAATTCTTCAGTCATGGCATCAGTGGCTTTTATTATCCCCTGTGAAATTCTGTCTCTAAATTACATGATGCAGCAGCAGGGGTCATTTGGTGGCATATCGTGCACTTCATAAAGTTGATTATATGGCGTACAGACATACGGCGGCGGGACATACGGCTGCCAGACATACTGCGGCGTGGCCGGTGGCTCTTCCACCGCTTTCTCCTCCTTCTTTTCACCACCTGCGGCACTCACGCTCACCAGCTCTGCATGTCCCACTCTCTTTCTTAGCCGACGTGTTAGCAGAACTGGATCCACCCCATCCCCTGTTACCTCTATCTGGCTGTAGTCATCGCCTTTCAACGAAGCAGACTCCACCCCTACACACAAAAACTCAACAATCAGCGTAACATTTTCCCATCAGAATGAATGAAATCAAAGTTGGTTTCAGCTGGTTTTCAGTGCCTGAGAGGCCGACTGCAGTTACCAAGGCCTTGGATCGGGACTTCTGGCCATTCGTGGTTACCTTGACCACCATATTTTGCTGCAAAAATAAAACCAAAATTTCAATTCAACATAAAATTCCATCAAACTAGAAAACTTTCGTTTCTCTATAATATTTCATGATCCATTTCCATACCTTCATGGTGGCGTTTGTCTGATAAAATAGACCCTTTTTTAATAGAGAGTAGCTAAAACAATGGCAATGGTGAGGGATTAACTGCTTGATTGTTTTTCTTTTGGCCAATGTAGCAAAATTTGCTGGTCTATTTATAGAGGGTGTCGGGGCAGACTCGTAAATTTAAAATAAATATGATTACACGCTAGGAAAAAAAAAAACAGGATTAATATTTCAGTAAAAGTTATATAAAGTAAAAAAAAAAAAACAAAAGGTGTGTTTATAATGTTCTATATTGATACTTAATTTTTATATAAAATATGATTAATATAGAAGCAAGGAATGTGGATGATTCTAATCTTTACGTGTTTTACAAAGTCATTTGTTTAATCAAAGACAAAAACATGATGGAAATGAAAGAAATTTTGTTTGATTCATCAAATTTCTTAAATGATATGATTATGGTTGAACTTTACTCTTAAACTTTTATATTAAGAGTTGTTTTTGATTTTACAAAAAGATGGGCAGACTTGTTAATAGTACAGCCATTGTTGAACTAATTTTATTAATTTTTCATGCATGTTTTTATAAGATATTTTTAATGATATTTCACCTAAATCAAGGAATGATCCAAATTATATAAAAAAAAAAATCTCGGCATTTCTTTCCTTATTTCCAAATTAAGACTTTTTTTATATAAAAAATTATATTCCCTATGTCTCATTTTCTTTGTTTATATATATATATATATATATATATTTGAGATGTCTTAGTCATTTTTTTTAATATCTAAAACTCTTACTTTTTATATTTTAAAATTATTTTTATGATTTTTTCATTTTTTGATATTAAAAGTTATGAAACTTTAATTATTAATATTTTATATAATATAAATATACGAATTTTTAAATATAATTCAAGGGGGCTTCTTTGCAAGTTCCACTAGTCGTTGATCTTTATCACACAATTGACCCTACCAGGTTTAATGCGTCAGCTCGTTCTCTTTGGTTCCGTACTTTGTATTGTGAGGGTAGTTGAAAGGAGAAGAAATTTATGCATTTTTGTCTAAAAAAGTGAGCTTTTAAATCATTCTAAGAACTTGTTTTCTATGTACATTCATTAGGTGTTAAAATAAATAAATAATTAAATGTTTAAATAATTATTAAAAATTATTAATCATATTTAAATATAAAAAAGTAAAATAACTGCAAGTACAAGTTATTTTTTTAACAAATAAAAACCAATGATCAAGAATTAATTCTCCATGTAAGCTGAACATGACGCTTTACAGCATCCTTTAGCTGGTTCTCTCTCTATTTAATATATTATACTACCTCAAAACATACATATCATATCGGCAAAAGACATCAAATAAAGGAAAGTGTAAGTAATATACTATTGCATTACTTCCTCAAAGTATAACTAGTGGGGTGGCTAAAAAAAGATTGATAAAGGAAAGTGTAAGGGACAGTCAAACAAATGTTTTTGAAGCATGTATTTGCTTTTTTTATACTGTTGGGCTTACATACTTGCATTGGTCATCAAACAAGAAGACGTGTATAAAATGAGAAAGGAGCAAAATCTGTGGAGTGATTTGACTGTAGCTAAGACCCTTGTAGAAAAAATTTTTTTTACTGTAGCTAAGAGCCTTGTAGAAAAAATATGTAGTTTCATAGAAAATCAAGTCATTTGTTTAATCAAAGACAAAAACATGATGGAAATGAAAGAAATTTTGTTTGATTCATCAAATTTCTTAAATGATATGATTATGGTTGAACTTTACTCTTAAACTTTTATATTAAGAGTTGTTTTTGATTTTACAAAAAGATGGGCAGACTTGTTAATAGTACAGCCATTGTTGAACTAATTTTATTAATTTTTCATGCATGTTTTTATAAGATATTTTTAATGATATTTCACCTAAATCAAGGAATGATCCAAATTATATATAAAAAAAAAATCTCGGCATTTCTTTCCTTATTTCCAAATTAAGACTTTTTTTTATCTAAAAAATTATATTCCCTATGTCTCATTTTCTTTGTTTATATACATATATATATATATTTGAGATATATATATATATATATATATTTGAGATGTCTTAGTCATTTTTTTTAATATCTAAAACTCTTACTTTTTATATTTTAAAATTATTTTTATGATTTTTTCATTTTTTGATATTAAAAGTTATGAAACTTTAATTTTATAAAAGAATTTAATTTTAATATTAAATACATTCAAATCAATTTTTTTTAAATTTCGTGAAAATAGATGCTAAAAATTCGAGAAAAATATACTTCAACTCCACTGGCTAAGAAGCCTAAAGAAAGCTTGAGTTCATCTCAGTCACCCCTTTTATTTTGTGGATGAACCTCTAAGAAAAGACCATTACTAATAAAAAATGTGGTTGAAGGGCATGGTAGTTTTAAATCAAGTAAAATTTTGGTTAATTCAGAGAAATCAGATTGTGGAAACTAGTGCTATATGTGAACAAATTAAATAAGCAAAGATATATATATATATATATATATACGTTAAAGTAGATTATCTAATATCTAATAAATATTTAATTTTCGGTAGTTTTATATTTAAATTGAGCCTTTTTTACTTATTATTAATTGATTTTAAGTTAGATTTTTTTAATATGATATCAGAGTCAAAATTTTCTTCCGTTGTCTTTTCTAAATTTATCGCATGAAAAGTTACTTTCATCTTTACCTATACGTAATAAAAAGCCTATTAAAGTAAATTATCTTACATCTATTAATTTTTTGTAATTTTATATTCGAGTTAGATCATTTTACTTTTTTTAAATTTGATGTTTAATAATATATATATATATATATACATTCAAAAGGACAAACGGTCCCTCCTCTTAGCTTGGATAATATGCTTTTTCATTGATATGCATGTCTCTCATGTGCCATGCTTTCCAGAAGTGGACTCATGTCCTAATTGAATTCCATATTATTAATGCAATTCTCAGCCTCAAAAAATGAAGCCCCAAATCACCTTTAGCACTCACCTCCCACTTTTACTTGCAATTTATCATTTTTTTTATTTTTTTATTTTGATTGCACTTTTTCTTTATAAAAAAAATATAATTTTGATTTCTTATTCAGTTTGATTGAATTAATATTAAATTATTGTTGTAATGAGAGAAACTATAGATTATGAGAGCAACTCGACTAAAAGGCCCTTCGTTGGGAAACACCACAGCTCTGATACCATTTGTTGAGCTAAAAACCTCCAATCCAATCACACCAGCGAAAACGAAATCAAACAATAAATCAAACACACAAGATACAATAATTTAATGTGATTCGGTCCAATCAACCTACGTCCACAGATGAGAAACAAGATCCACTAGTTATAGAGAATTACAAACTTACATCAAATCATCGACCTCACTTAATAATCAATACTCATAAGACACTCTCAATCTCCTCTAGTCCTATGAAGTATTCTCAACCCAAACAAATACAAACTAAAACCCTTGTGCACCCTTTTAACATAATCAAACCAAACACATACCTATATACTCACATACATCATACCTATATGAACTCTCTTCGTCTCCTAGTCTACTCACAAATAAACATACACACTCATAAGATGTAGAGTCCCAATACTCCTATAGGGTGTCTATCTCAAAAAATCCTACAATTCTCTTACATCTTTTTTTCATACCTAACCCTATAGAGACTTCACCTATTTATAACCATACAAACTTACCCATTAAGAATCTTTCTCCTCTTAGAATTCTTCTCATGTAAGTCAAACTTAACTATTAAGAATCCCTTTCCTTTTAGAATTATTCTCTTGTAAGTCAAACTTACCTATTAAGAATCTTCTTTCTCTTAGAATTCTTCTTTTGTAAGTCTTCTTGTCCATCAAGCAATATCTGACAAACCTCAAACAAATCTCTAACAAATCTCTTATGGGATTTGAGTCAATATTTTAACAATCTTGATCTTGACTCAAATTTCATTAATCATCTGTCTTCATATTAGACATGTTTGGCTCCACCTATAATGGAAGTCTCATAATTATGTTCTCTTCTCTTGTGTCTTCACACTTCATACAAACCAATCCTCAATCTTTAAAACTTAAACTCGAACTTTTCTCTTGAATCGAGCTCTTCTGGACTTGTTTCTTCCCATGTCTCAAACTAAGCACTTCCCACATCTTAAACCTTTAACTCTTCTCACATCTCGAACTTTCAGCTATTCCACGTCTCGAACCTTCGGCTCTTTTCACATCTTGAATCTTCAACTCTTTTCACGTTTTGAATCTTCAGCTCTGATACCACTTGTTGGATAACACCACAGCTCTAATACCATTTGTTGAGCTAAAAGCCTCCAATCCAATCACACCAGCAAAAGCGAAATCAAATAATAAATCAAACACACAAGAGACAACAATTTAACATGGTTCGATCCAATCAACCTACGTCCACATATGAGAAACAAGATCCACTAATTATAGAGAATTACAAACTTACATCAAATCATCAACCTCACTTAATAATCAATACTCATAAGACACTCTCAATCTCCTCTAGTCTTATAAAGTATTCTCAACCCAAACAAACACAAACACAAACTCAAACCATTGTGCATCCTTTCAACATAACCAAACCAAACACATACCCATATGCTCCCATACATCATACCTATGTGAACCCTCTCAGTCTCCTCTAGTCCACTCACAAACAAACATACACACTCATAAGACGTAGAGTCTCAATACTCTTATGGGGTGTCTATCCCACAAAATCCTATAACTCTCTTACATCTTTTTCTCATATCTAATCATGTAGAGACTTCACCTATTTATAACCATACAAACTTACCCATTAAAAATCTCTCTCCTCTTAGAATTCTTCTCCTGTAAGTCAAACTTGCCTATTAAGAATCTATTTCCTTTTAGAATTATTATCTTACAAGTCAAACTTACCTATTAAGAATCTTCATTCTCTTAGAATTCTTCTTTTACAAGTCTTATTATCCATCAAGCAATATCTGACAAACCTCAAACAAATCTCTAACAAATATCTTATGAGATTTGAGTCAATATTTCCAACACCTTCCACTGCATGAGATATATTAGAAAACATTGCCTTTGAGAAAATTATTAAAGGTGAAAGGTTTTAGCTACCGAAAAAAAATTAAGATATAAAAGTTGACTCTAGATCTATTAAAGAGTCATATCATCCGTTTAATCTTAAATGTTCATTCAAATTTTGATAAGATTTGGACAAAAAATTTAAAACTTAAACCCAATCCAATCTTATCTAAATTCATATATAGAAAATTTTTTTTATTTTTATATATACATAGAGTATATATAACTTAATTTACATATATATAAAGATTACAAATTAAAATTATATTTATTTTATTAAACTTAATTTTTTACTTTTATAAAAGTTTTATTTTTATTATATATATGTGAATTGAATATAATTTTATTAAACTTAATTTAATCATTTTTAAAATTTTTTATTTTATAAATTAAGTTTAAAAAATAGATTTGAAATTTATTTTTTAATTTAAATTAAATTTAATAAAATTTTAAATTTTAAATTAAATTAAATTAAATTTAAATAAATATATAAATTAATAATATTTAATATAAATCCACCTTGAATCCGATTTGATCTGTAAATAATTTTAGTGTACGCTTCTCTCCTTTTAATTCATATAAAAAGTTGAATTTGATTATCGGGTACCATAAACAATCACATCACACATTTAATTCAGGTGCCAAAGAATAGAATCCTTCATCAAATCTGGCATATATTTTGCAAGAGTCTGGTTTGGTCAATTTCTGGAGCATGCCAAAAAGAGCGAATCCAAGACTAGATGTGATGGGAGAAAGGGGTAGGAACTTTGGTTTGGTTTTGGTCTAAATTAATAAAATATGACTGAAAGAGCCATCAAAAAGTGGGCCAATCCCAATCGGTGAGATTTGATAACCTATGGATCATATCATGTATTTTTTGTGTTAGATATGTATAAATATAAAAATTATTGTATTAAACTAATATTAATACCCAAAATACGTAACATATTTTTTATTTTGATTAAATATATACAATTTTTTAAAATTTAAATCATATTGATTTTATATTTTTTATATCTTAATTAAAATTATCATTATTTTTTAAAAAAAATTTAAAAATAAAAAAATTATCTCATCTTCAAATTCAAAATAAATTATTAATCTAATTAAAATTTAATTTACAAGTCTATTAAATTTTTATCCATAATTTTTTTATACTTATAAATTACCTATTAATTAAAGATCGTTGAGAGAATTCAAATGCATCAAAATTTATCCTTTATCGCTTCTGCCAACTTTCAATTAAAAAGATATTATATTTAAAAGGAGAGTAGTAGAAATTTCAACGAGACAAAGGCCTAGCATAAAAACGGGTCCACTTTTAAGTCTTTTATGATTTTATTTGCTTTATTATTTCCATTCAGAGTATTATTTTTCCCATTTTTCTTTTTTTTTTCTCTTAGTAATAGAAATTTTTAGATCCTTATAAATACTCCTAAACCATTCATCCATCTTGCATTAAAGAAATCTAAGCTTTTGCATAACACCCAAAGTTGAAGAGTGAGTGTAAACACTATTTTGTATTATTTTTATTATTATTATTATTTCTATCATTATTATATTTTTTCTTTTTCTTTCTTTCTTTTTCCTTCTTTTTTTTTTTGTTCTGATCAATTTGACAAAAAATATGAGTACATTAAATACACTCACCCTAAAGTCCAAAATCACCACCGCTAGCTGCTAGTAGTCGTTTGATAACCTGCCTAACTTGACAGTGTGAATTTTGGCTACCTAAAAGTCTAAGCCGATTGAAAAACAGGGATTTGAATCCCAAAAAAATCTGAGATTCGAATCCCAGAAAGTTCTATAAATAGAGCTTATTGTCTACACAAAAGGAGGATCGATTAAAAAAAAGAAGAGGAGATCGAAAAAAAAAACTTGAAACCTTGCAAAAAAAAAGTTTGACAGATTAAAAAAAAAACTTTCTGTAAAAAAAAAATTCAAAGCAAACCAAACACATACAAACACAGAAACAACAGCCTCTGAAAACGAAAACCACAGCACCAGCAAAAAAAAAAAAACACATAAACAAAAAAATTGTGGCCGAAACTTTTAGGCCAAATCTGCACTGTTTGGGACACTTTCAAGTGAAGCGAAGGTTGGATCTGGGTTTAGGGGGTTGAGAGGAATATTTTGGTCTTTTTTGAGATTTTTTTATCACCAGCGATGGCGGTCGATGATCGGTGACAGGCGATAGTGATGACCACCGATCGACCCCATTGGGTTTTGGTTTGAAAAGGGAGAGGGGAGAGTTTTTTTTTCTGAAAGAGGAGAGAATGACCAAAAAAAATTTTTGGACCTTTTATATAAACTGTCAAATCCAAAATGATGTTGTTTCAATAAAAGGCCTAAAACAACGTTGTTTTGAGTCTTGAGGATCTGCGCATCAACCCATGATCCGACCTAGGGTTCGTGCACTAGACCAGATGATCGACGTCCCTTCAGCCTCTGACCAGTCCAGTCGAACAGTCCCAAATCGAACTAGATCGATGTTGAACCATCGAACCAACCAGATCGATCCAAGTCACTGAATCGATCGGACCTCGTTGATCGGACCGTTGATCGGTCTGATTCAAGTAAAAATATTTTTTAATATATTATTTTTATAATGTTTATACATATTAAAATATTTAAATTTGTTAGAATAAATTTTATTTTATTAAAACTCTTATAATTTTGATAATTTTAAAATAAACTTAAAAAATAATAATAAAAATAAACCTTAAATAATTTAATTAATAAAAAAATGTAAGAAAATAAAATTTTTATCCGATGATGAGATTCAAAGGTACTCCGAGTAGTGATACCTATGAAATATTTAGGTGAAAAGGTTTTTTTTTAAATACTACAAGTGTATTGGAGTATTTATTAAAAGATTTTCAATACAATAAAATTTTTTTTTTTATAAAAATAAAAAAATTCAAAATTAATTAATTTATTATTAAAAAATAGTAATATAAATAAGAAAAAAAGAAATTTTATCCAATGATAAGATTTTAAAAGTATTCTGAGTAGTGGTACTTTACGAAATTCTTAGGTGAGAAATTTTTTTTAAATATTACCAATGTATTGAAATATTTATAGAAAAACTTTAATATAATAAAAAAAAAATTTTCTTCAAAAATTTAAATTAAAAATAAAAATTAATAAAACAATTAATAAAATTTCTAAAAAAAAAAATAAAATATGTGCATCGATATGGTAATATTTTGCATTGCATGCACAACATAACTTTTTTATAAAAAATAAATTTAAGCCTCCGATGATGAGATTTTAAGGTATTCTGAGAAGCTATGCTTAAGAAATCTCTAGGTGAGAAAAAGTTCTTCTAATGTTACCAACGTACTAGAACATTTTAAGAATTATTTTGATAAAAGGGTTTTAATTTATTTTTCTTGAATAAAATTTGAGCACTAAAAAATACATTAAAAAATTTTCTAATAAATGAAAAATCAATGAAATTATTTAGAAAATTATTTTTCAAACACCAAAAATGGGATTTTTTTTATCAAAATCAAAAGATTACACATAGTTAATTGGTACCATTTTAAACGGGCGCTATGGGGGTGTTAATTCTCACTTACACGTAACCGACTCCTGAATTCAGACTGTTATGTAGACCATAAAATTATCATTTTAATAAATTTTAATTAATTTTAATATTTCATTAAAAAGATATATTTTAATAGGTGGCTAATTGCACCTAGTAAAAAAAAAGATTGGTGGCAACTCTATTATTTTTTATTTTATTTCCAAATTCATCGAGCGGACATAAAATCATTATGACAGCTTGGCAACTCCACTGGGGATGCCATTTGTTTTCGAGAGTCAAGCTAAAATTAACTATGTGTTATTCTCAAATTTTGATTTAAACAATCTTAGTCAGTATTTAGTTTTTTTAATTCTTTTTACTTTCAATAAAAAAAAAGAGAAAAAGGTCAAACAAATAAAAAAAGCCAAAAAATAAAAACAAATTTCATACGTATTTCTCTTGTTGTTTTTTTTTCTTATGTATTATTCTCAATAAATTAGGAAACATATGCACACACAATAATGTGATGTATCTCATGTATGAGCTCTATACCCGGGCTCCGTCCCTCATAGGAAGAAGTAAAGTACATATGCTCTCGTAAGATGATAACTTTCGTAATGACAAGCAAAATACTTTCACTCAAATTGAACATTTTTTATTCGTAGCCTGTAATGGGTGAAGATCATGGTACTTTACTATTCCAACGTGGACAATAGTAAAGAGCAATTTGAGAACTTTTAAACGTATGTCAACCTAAACTAAGCATGTAATAAGCTTAGGAAGCAAATCTTAGGTAGAGCTTTGCCCACCCTTTTGTAAAAAATACCTAGGTCCAAAACATGTAGGAATAAAAGTTATGTATAAGAAAGAACAAAAAAAAAAAACAAAACAAAAAAATCTCAATTTTTTTTATCTCAAACCATATCCTCACACTAACTCAATTTTGTTTTTCTTTTTTTTTTTACATAAATCATATCATACAATTTTACATTAAAGTATTTATTCTAGGACATCTTTTTCTTGAAAAGTTCTTCATAGATCCTATAGAATTATTGATTCGTTCAAATTTCATAGAATTAATGAGAATTTTTAGTGCTGAAATTTATCCAAAAGCAAATATCTCCCACTTGCATTCATGCATCATATGCACCTTTTAACTTATGGCATTCTGATTTTAAAAATTTATAGTAATAAAGGTTCGGGAATAGCTCACCCATCAAAAATTTTGACTAACCTACCTGCCAACACCAGAACTCAAACAAGAATCATGGAACAAGAACAGGCCAGTTGATTTGAAAGGATAGAAAAGACTAAAAAAGAACTAAAAGGGGATATTGATAAGATTTTGGACATGCTCAAAAACTTGATAAAGGAAAAATGATGGAAGAAAATTTTAGCTTTTAAGAGCAATTGTTAGACATGGTGAATCTTGTTTACCCTCCAGGGTTTGAGCCACGATCGAACCAACTTTCTTAAGGAACTAGAGTAGAAATTCTTATTCCTGATGGATATTTCAATCCTTGTCCAGGAATGACATCCACACTTATTTCAAGACAATTCCAAAATTTTGTTAATCCTATTATAATGGAAAACCCACTCGAGCCAATCTTAGTTCCCGATTTGGTTTATCCCAATAAGAGAGAAAAGTTAGGGATAAAGACACTCGAGAAAGTCAAAGATACCAGTGTCCAGCAGAAGATGAAGTTATTAGAAGAAATACTTAAGACCATAGAAAGAATAAATTTTTATAGCTCTATGGATGCAACCGAGCTTTGTTTGGTCCCAGATATGATCATTCTACCTAAATTCAAGGTTTTTAAATTTAAAAAATATGATGACACAAAATACCCAATGACTCATATCACCATGTATTATCGTAAGATAGCAGCACATACTTATGACGAGAAATTGTTAATACACATATTTCAAGATAACCTTATGAGATCTACAGTCAAATGGTATGTTCAACTAGACATGACTCATATTCGTTCTTGGTAAGAGCTCACAAGGGCATTTCTTACATAATATCAGCATGTCATGGATCTAATTTTGGATCGTTTGTCTCTACAAAACATGAAAAAAAAAGGTAACAAAAAGCTTTAAAGAGTATGTACAGAGATGGAGAGATATGACTACAGAAGTACAACATCCTTTCACTAAAAAAAAATAACTATCTTGTTTATGAATACCCTAAAAATACCATACTATAATAGGCTAATAGGCAATACAACTAAAAATTTTACAGATATGGTGTTATCAAGTGAGATTATTAAAAATACTATAAATATTAATAAGCTCGATGCAGGAGAGACAAGCAAAGTAAAGAAAGATGAAGCCCTCAAAAATAAAAAAAAAATGAAGCTCAAGCAATGAACTATATGGAGCAATAATTCAGAGGTTTCACCTCATACCCTACACCAATGTACCAAACTCATTACCCTCCCATAAATAATGTTACATCCATCCCTTATCCTTATCAACCATATCAGCCACTACAATAATTAACTTATTCACCTTATTGCCAGCCATTCTTTCAGACACTCAACTGTTCGTACAACCATCCCGCTGCACCTACCAAATCAAAATGAAGATCCAATCCAAGTACTAATTTGAGAGGCCCAAAAAATACTAAAGAAAAAACCACTTTCAACCTTATTTCTATATCTTACACAAAATTATTACCTCAGCTTATCTAGAATAAGGTTTTGGAGCCTGTACGTCTAGAACTCCTTCAACCCCCTTACCCAAAATGGTATGATCCTAATGTAAAATGTGATTATCATAATGAAAATCAGGGTCACTCGATAGAAAACTATCCCGTATTGAAATATAAGGTTAAAGATCTCATTAAAGCTGAAAAAATAAAATTTGAAACTAACAGTGATTATTGTGTCTTTGATATATTGGAAAAGAGGTGAACCGGGGGTGTTAAAGCATTGATATGAATAATTTGGATGTAATAGACAGATGGAGAATTGAAGAATGGTTCTGTGGGTTTTCTGAAAAAATGATGGTTTATTGGGTGTTGCAAAGAGGTGGATTATTCAAAAAATGTGTCGCTTTTATTTTCTTTTTCACTTCTATATTAGATATGCGTATGAACTTTAGAACTTATATGAAAGTTGAATATGAATGCTAATTGAGAGAGTTTTTTTTTTCTTAAGTTTTAAAAAAATAAATAAAATAAATAAAAAATCTTTTCTCTTCATAATAAAAATCTCAAAAAATTGGTGGTCGTTATTATGAATCTACCTGAATAAAATATTCTCGTGTCCTTTTCATGTCCCAAAATCACTTAAAGAACCTTAATGCTCCAAAGGATACAAGTTTAAAATTTGTGATACCTATTGTCAAGGTAACAAATACTGAAATGATCAATTTGGAAAAACCTTCTGAGTTCCTTGAAAATCAGACAAATATGATACTTTTTTTTATCTAGATGTTGGTGAATTGATAGGTGTCAAGACTATGCTTTAAATAAAAAGTCATTTAGATAACCATAAATACACAAATGCACATTTTTATGTAGGGGCATGTTGATAAAAGAAAATGATTTTCAATCATCCCAAAATTGCCTATTTCATGCCACTATTCAATTTGGTGATGATGTGCTCGATCGAAACCTAAATAGACCCTTTCAACATGATTTTCATTGTCGCATAAACCCTGTTAACTTACCAAGATAGGACAAAGATTGGTTGTCATATGAGTTGTGAAGAAAAAATAAAAAATAAAAAATGTTGATGGTTACATCGTGCACTTTAGATATTCAAATGATCCAAAAAAAAAAAAGATAAAAGAAGAGGTGATGAAAATAGAATTTTGATTTTTCAAAGAATCACTCTTCAGCATAAGTAACCAAGCTTGAGATGATAAATGGCCATCTTTTTTTCATCATTTCACAAATAAGAAATTATCCATTTGCTACCCCTTTGAGCCAAGTGAATTCTTTCTAAATGAACCTTGATCAAAGATCACCTGACATAAAGAAAGATCTATTTGATGAAGTCATGCTTTGACAATAAAGAAAGAATGCATTAAGTTGTAGAAACAAATATTAGACAAATTGAGTGTTAGAACATATTTATACAAATGTTGAAATACGCAAGAAAAAGCAAAAGTGAAAGCAAAAAAAATAGAAGAAAGAGAAAGGAAAAAAAAGATAATTGGATGTTACGATTGAAAAAATAAAAACAATGAATGTCCCAAAGAAAGTTCTTCACATGGTATGAAATGATCCTTAGTCCGATCACCTTCAAACACATGTTTTGGGCCTATTTATCCATTTTTTCAGATCTTCAAACCTTGACCTATGTTACATACTTTGAAAAGTTTATTTTGCTCAAACATGGACACTTAAACTGAATAATTTATTCATTGCAGAATCCTTGTGACCAACTTCACTTTTGTCTATTTTTCTTGCAAGATTTTTTTTTTCACAAGAGTACTTGAGTGCACGATGAAATCGTAAAAAAAAAAGAAAGAAATAAAAGAATAATGAAAGAATAAAGCTTTAAGGTGAAAACCCCAAAATGGGTAATCTAGAGCAAGAATGAGATTGCAACAATAAAACTCATTGCAACCAATGACTGAGATAGAAAATCTTAGCCTTCCCCAATATGATCTTGAATTTGCCATAGTTGGTCTTTACATCTATTAAAATGCCACATTATGATACTAAAAGAGTGTTAAATCTGATTTAACTACAAAAAAACCTTTCGAAAGAATTTGCTATTGAGCCTAAATAAAGATTCAATTTTTCATATCAAGTTGTAGACCTTAGTTTGACAATTAATGATCCAAGCCATTTGAAAAGATGAAATTGCCATTTTGTTCAGACATGTACATAATAATGATCACCATTTTTCAGAGACTTAAGAGTCACGTTATTTTATAAAGGTTGACTAAGGCAGTTTTTTGTGAGAATTTTGTCATTAAAATAAAATTTTTTTAAGGAAAAAAACTTTGAGGAAAAGAAATGGCATTATGAAAAACACTTTTAATACAAAAATATGTTTAATCAGTTGAGTTTCACCATAGTTCGATGGTTTATTTTCGTCAATTCCTTTCACTAAGTTCAAGTTGATCATATGCATGTTTGATTTGAAGATGAAAAAATGAAAATAAAAGTTAGAAAATCCAAATTGTAAAGAAAAAAATAGAAATTGATGAAAAATAAGCAACAAATAAAAGGATTTGGAATTGAAATGAGATAAATGATTCGAGTTTAAAAGAACTTTTGAAAATTTAAGAAAAAAATTTTTTTGGCAGCTGCATGTCTTTACTTGGCTATTTTTGAAAAGAAAATTTTGAGCATTTAAATCTTTTGACTTTGTATTTACCTCATTAGCTTATCCAACATTGATAAGAAAGCATGCATTAGTATTTTTGAAATAGATATTTTACATTTCATGTGCATCTTTTTAAGAAAAAACATTTGTTTCTCATGAACATCATTTAAGAAAAGACATTTGCATCTCATGAGTATCATTTAAGAAAAGACATTTGCATCATAATGGTGTTCACAAATTTTGGAGACATTAAAAAAGAAAAAAAAAAAGAGGGGGGGGAAGGCAAAAACATATTGAAAAGATTAAAAATTTTCAAAAATTTCAATGAGATAGCATAAGATGAGAGTTTTAAGCAATCTAGCTAGCAAAAAAGTTGTTAACCTAGTGAAATCGGTATCAATCAAGAAAAATATTATGATAAATTACTTTCAAAGTTCTCGGTGGTGATATCCGAGTATTAAAGTATGAATTTCATTTTCTGGGTGGTGATATTCGAATGTTAAAGCTTCAATTGCCTGTTCTTGATGGTGATATTCGAGTTTCTTTCGATGGTGATATCCTAAGTTATTTACATATTCTCGATGGTAATATCCGAGTGATAATATTTGATTTATATTTTTTAGATGATGATATTCGAGTTTCCTTCGATGGTGATATCCGAGTATTAAGGCTTAAATTACATTTTTTCGATGGTGATATTCGAGTTTCTTTCGATGGTGATATCCGAAGTCATTTGCATATTCTTGGTGGCAATATCTGAGTGATAAGGTTTGATATGCATTTTCTCAACGATGATATTTGATTTTCCTTCGATGGTGATATCCAAAGTCATTTGCATCTGCGATAGTGATATCCGAGTATTAAGGCTTAAATTGTATTTTTTTGATGGTGATATTCGAGTTTCCTTTGATGGTGATATCCGACTATTAAAGCTTTAATTGCATTTTTTCAATGGTGATATTTGAGTTTCCTTCGGTGGTGATATCCGAAGTCATTTACATATTCTCAGTAGTGATATCCGAGTGTTAAAGTTTGATTTGTATTTTCTCGATGACGATATCCTAGTGTTAAAGCTTTAATTGCATTTTCTCGATGGTGATATTTAAGTTTTTTTCGATGGTGATATCCGAAGTCATTTGCATATTCTCGGTGGTGATATCTGAGTATTAAAGCTTCAATTGCATTTTCTTGATGGTGATATTCAAGTTTCCTTCAATGGTGATATTCGAAGCCATTTACATATTCCCAGTGGTGATATGCAAGTGTTAAGAGTTGATTTGCATATCCTTTAATGGTGATATTTGAGTTTCTTTCGGTGGCGATATCCGAAGTCATTGCATATTCTCTGTGGTGATATTCGAGTGTTAAGGTTTAATTTACATTTTCTCGATAATGACATCCGAATTTTAAAAAATCATTTGCATTTTCTTTGGTGATGATATCCGAAGTCATTAACATCTTTTCGATGATGATATCTGAGATTACTTATCCTTCGATGGTGATATTCGAAGTTTTTTTTATGATTTAATTTTTTTTTGAACCTCTACCTAGGATAGTTTTTTTCAAGATGAATTTTTTAAAGTTATTGAGCCTTTGCTTAGAAGAGTCTTTTTCAAGATGAATTTTTAAAGTTATTGAGTCTCTGCTTAGATGAGCTTTTTTCAAGATGAATTTTTGAAGTTATTAAGCCTCTGATTTGAGGAGCTTCTTAATTTATTAAAAAAAAAGGTTTTGTGCTCAATGTTTCTTCTTTATTAACAAAATGGTTGTTTGTTTATCTTTGTCTTATTTCTAATTCTCAGAAATAGGTAAAGAGGGGTAATTGTAAACACTATTTTGTATTATTTGTATTATTATTATTTCTTTCTTTCTTTTTCTATTATTATTATTATTATATTTTTTTCTTTTTCTTTCTTTCTTTTTCCTTCTTTTTCCTTCTTTTTCTTCTTTCCTGTTCTGATCAGTTTGATAAAAAAATACGAGTGCATTAAATGCACTCACCCTAAAGTCCAAAATCTCCACTGCTAGCTGCTGACAGTCGCCTGACACCCTACCTAACTTGACAGCGTAGATTTTGGCTACCCAAAATTTAGGTCGATTGAAAAACTAGGATTTAAATCCCAAAAAAATATGAGATTCGAATCCCATAAAGCTCTATAAATAAAGCTTATTGCTTACAAAAAAAGTGGATCGATTAAAAAAGAGAGAAAGAGATCGATAAAAAAACCAGAAACCCTTCAAAAAAAGTTTGGCAAATTCGAAAAAAAAAAACTTTCTGTTAAAAAAATTTAAAACAAACCAAACACATACAAACACAGAAACGATAGCCTCTGGAAATGAGGACCACAACGCCAATAAAAACAATAACGTACAAACACAAAAAAAAAAATTATGGCCTAAACTTCGAGGCCAGATCTGCGCTGTTTAAGACACTTTAAGGTGAAACAGAGATTAGATATGGGTTTAGGAGGTTAAGAGGAACATTTTGATCTTTTTTAAGATTTTTCAAGCACCGATAATGGTGGCTGGTGACCGACGACAGGCAGCGGTGACAATAGTGATGACCACCAACTGGCCCCATTGGGTTTTGGTCTTAAAAAAGAGAGGGGAAAGGTTTTTTTTCTGAAAGAGGAGAGAATTACCGAAAAATTTTTTTTTGAACCTTTTATATAAACTGTTAAAACCAAAACGATGTCATTTTAATAAAGCCCAAAACAACATTATTTTGAGCCCTAAGGATTCGCGTGTCAATTCGTGACTCGACCCAGGGTTCACGCACTCGACCCAGTGACCCACGTTCCTTCAGCCTCTGATCAGTCCAGTCGAACAGTCCCAGACCGAACCTGACCGACGTTGAACCGTCTAACCAACTAGATCGATCCGGGTTGCCAAACCAATCGGACCTGCATTGAACAAATCGTTGATCAGTTCGATTTAGGTATTTTTTGAATTTTTTTTTTTATATATTATTTTTATAATGTTTATGCATATTAAAATATTTAAATTTGTTAGAATAAATTTTATTTTATTAAAATTTTTATAATTATGATAATTTAAAAAAAAAACTAAAAAAATAATAAAAATAAACCTTAAATAATTTAATTAATAAAAAAATGTAAGAAAAAATTTTTTTATCCGATGATGAGATTCAAAGGTACTTCGAGTAATGATACCTATGAAATCTTTAGGTAAGAAGATTTTTTTTTTTAAATACTAACAGTGTATTGGAGTATTTATAAAAAGATTTTCAATACAATAAAAATTTTTTCTATAAAAATAAGAAAATTAAAAATTAATTAATTTATTATTTAAAAATAGTAATATAAATAAGGAAAAAAAATTTATCCAATGATGGGATTCTAAAAGTATTTCGAGTAGTGATGCTTTACGAAATCTCTAGGTAAGAAGATTTTTTTTTTTAAATATTACCAATGTATTGAAATATTTATAAAAAAACTTCAATATAATAAAAAAATTTTTTTCTTCAAAAATTTAAATTAATAAAAAAATTAATAAAATTTCAAAAAAAAGAGAATAAAATATGTGCATCAATATGGTAACATTCTGCATTGCATGCCCGACATAGCTTTTTTACAAAAACAAATTTGAGCATCCGATGATGAGATTCTGAGGTATTCTGAGAAACGATGCCTAAGCAATCTCTAGGTGAGAAAAAGTTCTTCTAATGTTACCAACTATTGGAACATTTTAAGAATTATTTTGATAAAATAGTTCTAATTTATTTTTCTTGAATAAAATTTAAGCACTAAAAAATACATTAAATTTTTTTTCTAATAAATGAAAAATCAAAGAAATTATTTAGAAAATTATTTTTTAAACACCGAACATGGGACTGTTTTTTATCAAAATCAAAAGATAACACGCAGTTAATTGGTACCGTTTTAAACGAGCGCTGTGGAGGTGCTAATCGTTCTCTACACGTAACCAACTTTCGAACTCAGATTGTTACATAGACCCTAAAATTATCCTTTTAATAAATTTTAATTAATTTTAAAATTTTATTAAAATGATATATTTTAATAGATGGCCAATTGCACTTAGCTAAAAAAAAAAATTGGTGGTGATTCCATTATTTTTTATTCGTTTTCAAATTTGTCGGGCGGACATAAATTCGTTACCACATTTAGACTTTAAGAGATTTTTAGGATAGAAAAAAAAAGTTATAAGAGAAATGGCAAGTTTCCCGGTGATCATCTTGGAGAAGCTTAATGGTAAGGAGAGAGCAGCAATCATGGAGCAAATCAATGATGCTTGTGAGAACTGGGGCTTCTTCGAGGTATCAATGGCTATCTAGCTTTAGTGCTATACTCTATTCTCCTAAATATTTTGCTGATATGGGTTATTTCTTCTTTTGTTGTGCTGATATCAGCTGCTGAACCATGGGATTCCCCATGATTTTCTGGATAATGTTGAGAGATTAACAAAAGAGCATTACAAGAAATGCATGGAGCAGAGGCTTAAGGAGCTGGTAGCAAGCAAGGCCCTGGAAGGTCTCCAGGCAGAGGTGACTGATATGGATTGGGAAAGCACATTCTACTTGCGCCATCTTCCTGAATCAAACATGGCTGATTTCCCAGATCTCTCTGATGAATACAGGTATAGATCAGGAAGCAAATTACAACTTTCTGAATCAAGTCATATGTTCTAGATTCAATTGAAAAAAATAAATTTTTCCCACAAAATTTCTTTCCCAGGGCTGTCAGCATTGGTTAATGCTGTCCTCTCTTTCTTGACCTAACACTTTCGTCCAATTAAAAAAATGCAGGAAGGTGATGAAAGAATTTGCACTGAAATTGGAGAAACTAGCAGAGGAGCTCCTGGACTTGTTGTGTGAGAACCTTGGACTAGAGAAGGGATACCTGAAAAAGGCCTTCTATGGGGCAAGAGGTCCAACCTTTGGCACCAAAGTTAGCAACTACCCACCATGCCCAACACCAGAAAAATTCAAGGGACTCAGAGCCCATACAGATGCCGGTGGCATCATCTTGCTCTTCCAAGACGCCAAAGTGAGCGGCCTCCAGCTTCTTAAAGACGGCGAGTGGATCGATGTTCCTCCCATGCGCCACTCCATTGTAATCAGCCTTGGAGATCAGATCGAGGTATGCACTCGATTTCACCAAATCTTGGCTCTGTGCTAAGGTAAATCTATCACAAGGGAAACTTGAACTTAAAATCCTGAATTCTTAAATATGCAGGTGATCACCAATGGCAAATACAAGAGTGTGGAGCACAGAATGATTGCCCAAACTGACGGAACTCGCATGTCAATCGCTTCATTCTACGACCCTGGTAGTGATGCTGTTATCTACCCAGCACCAGCTCTGCTGGAGAAAGAAGCTGAGGGGAAGAAACAAGTGTACCCCACATTTGTGTTTGAAGACTACATGAAACTATATGCTGGACTGAAATTCTAGCCCAAGGAACCAAGATTTGAAGCCATGAAAGCCATGGCAACAGCTTAAATCCTGGAGCTTAGATTTGACTTGATGGAGAAGAGTATTTTAATCTATTTAAAACTTTTTAGTTGAAGAAAAAAAATAAAAAAACACTCAAAAGAAGTCAAAGCCTTCCATATGTCTAAACAGGAACAACCATTTCTATACTACAATAGTATTTTATTATTATGAACTAAAAAGGATTTGTCTCACTGTTTTTCTCTGATTTTTTTTATTGTTGTGGGTCGATCTCATGATCTCTTCATCGAAGAAACAAAACAACTAAAAAATTACTTAGAAAGGAATGGTCGGTTGCATGATTTATCCAATTCCAGTCCAACCTGTTGCTTCAGGTTTGATGAAAACGTATTTGGATTGACAAAATGAAGTAAATGCATGATTTGTCTTATTCATCTTCCAGGGTAGCAAACAACCTTAAAAACACATGAAAAAAACCTTAAAAAAAAAAAAAAAAGAAACATACAGGAACTGACCACCTTAGCCAAACCAGAGCTGGTGGTGACTAAAAGAAGTTTGTTTGATAAAAGCAGTAATTTAAATATTGATTTAGCAGTTGGAACAAAAATAGAGGACAGGAAATGCAGATTTTATGTTCAATCCTGATATATGTTATAATTGTTTTGCCTACACTGACATATAGAACTGAAAAAGCTGGTTTTGGAAATATTGTAAGGAAGAAATAAGATAACCCTTTTAATTGGTTTTTTTTTTTTAATCAAATGATAAGATTCTATTTACTGGTTATTAGATGTTACTTTTTTGTGGGAAATTTTTTTATATTTTTTTCAATAATAAACACTTTTTAGTTACAGGTTAATTCAAATAACTTTATTTATTTCAGATTTAACGAGTTCATAAAAAAAATTATCTTCTCATAAATACCATTTAAAAAAGGATCAAATGCTGTCTTTTTTTCCCTAATGACCTTCAAATGCAATATAAATTAATAAATTATTAATATAATCTTATTAGAATAATTTTATTTAATAATGTCAATTCTCTAATTAAATTAATACCATTTAATTTGTAACAGTAAATTCAGCGAAAACTTTATTATCAATGAGGAAAGAAGCATATATTAGAATTAAATGATTTTTTATTGCTTTAGAATAGTCATTCACGAAATGGATTTTTATTCATTAAATTAAATATAAATATAATATATATTTTTGCATAGAAACAATTAGGTTTTTAAAAATTGAAGTAGATAAATTATTTAATTTTTTAAATTAAAATAAAATATATTATATTTAATATTTTAAAATTAATAATAAAAATTTATTCATTCGAAATAATCTCGATAAATTAATAATTTGTTTTACATTACTTTTTTTGTCTTTTCTTTTTACTTTAGATAAAGTTTAAATGGCATGATTGTTTTGGGCATTTACATTAATAAAGTTTTTTTTTTTACATTTTATACTTTTTAAATTTTATTTTTTTAATTTATTGATAATAAAAAAGTACATAACATTAATCTTATATTTTTTTTAATTTATAATATTAAATACATAAAAATCAAAGGTTTCTTTTTACCATCAATGAAACTAAAGGAGTATATAATTTCTTGTAATCATTAATGTTAATAGTATATGTTGAAATTAAATAGGATAAGATTTGTGATAAGAATCTTAATTTTTTTATAAAAATAAATTTTTTAAGTTACAATTATAGTATTATATTTATAAAATTAATTATTATATTATAATCAAGTTATAATTATCGAATAATCAACTAATAAATTATAATATAACTAAATTATTATATTCACACACTATAAAATTTTAACCTAATATTTTAGAATTTTTGAGCCTCTTCATTGTCACTAAATTAAAGATAACAAAATAATTTGTATCCGATAAATTTTGACTCATCTCAATCTAATAAAGTCATTTTTTTGAAATCGATTCTGGTTAGAGTAAGATCTAGGTTTTTTCCTTAAATTTGGGTTTGAATTGAAGTCACGTTTAAGTTGATGCTATCCCAATTTAAGTGTATATAAAATATATATTTTATGATTTATTTAATTATATATATATGTATTATATTAATAAAATTATTATTCATTACTTTAATTTAATATATTAACTTAACAAAAATATTATATTTATCTAGAATTAAAATATATTTTTATAAATATTATACAATATTTAAATTATTAAATTAATTTTAAATCAAATCAATTGCTGTCTATAAATATTAAATATTCAAATTGAGTATAAAAAATAATATTTTAATATTAGACTAAAACTATATATAAATATTAGAAGGTCAAATTAGAATTGAAATGAGTAAAAAGCCGTTTCAACCCACTTCATTGTGATTCTTATACTAAACTAAGGTCCTATTGGCTTTATAGAAAAAATCTTAATTAAAATTGATTTGATTTTAATTACAAAGGTAAGTACTTGTGTCACGGATCTAAGTAAGAGTCTTGAATCTCACATTAAACATAATAAAAGGGTCACTGGAGTATAAAAGGGTTCACCCTACATCAACCTTGTGAGGCATCTTTTGTAGGATAAAACTGTGAGGTCAGGGGGATCAGAGCGGATAATACCTCACAAGAGTGTGAACCGTGACGGTTAGGCTGATCTGAGACACCGGATGAGTGGATGCCCAGGTCCCGGAGCCGCACGGGTTCAAAGCTTAAATCTCGACCCGTGACAAGTGGTATCAGAGCTAGTCCTAAACCGTTCGATCCAAGTCAAGCACCTCGAGGGAGGTAGACAGGGTAGTCAGCCTTCGTGACAAAGGCTCATGAGGTTGGGTGCGAGAGAATGTCACGGACTTAAGGAAGAGTCCTGAATCCTACATCGAACATAATAGGAGGATCACTGGGGTATACAAGGGTTCACACCACATCAACCTTGTGAGGCGCCTTTTGTAGGATAAAATCGTGAGATCAGGAGAGTCAAAGCGAATAATACTTCACAAGGGTGTGAACCGTGACGGTTAGGCTGATTTATCGCAACTTACCCTTTTAATTGCAATTTTTTATCACAATTGTAATGCTAAACTAATCCGATCCAAATTTCTCATTTTATTTTCTGAACATAATGCTGTTCTCTTAATAATATTAAAACATAATTTTTTTTTCTTAATATATATCCACACATAAATATAAATCTATTCAAACTCAATTTATTTTTTGAATAAAAAATACATGCACTTATCATTTTTCGTCTTTATATACAGTCAAGGTTGAAATTTAAAAATTTTCAAATTAGAGTTTGAAAATTTAAAAGGAAGATATGGTTACTTGTAAGTTCTAATTATGGACTGAAAAAGGAATACAAGTTCTCTTATCATCATTAATGATAAAAAAAATAATCTCCCAAATCTGAACTATGAATTTTATAAAATTTAAGAACTTAAGTGTCATTGTTAAAATAAAGAAAGCTAAACTCAGCCAGGAGTTTAAAAAGAATTTCGGCCATGACAATGTTAAACTGATGTCAAATTTTTGCCGTTGTCAATTAAGGGTATAAATGATACATTTATATTTATAAATTATGTAAATTCGATTCAAATAAAATTTGAATTCGATTCGATTATTATCGAGTCAAACTGAAATTCGAATAATTTAATTTATCGATTGAGTCAAGTTTGAGTATTTTTACACTCGATTCGAATAACTTGCGAGTCTAATTGAAATTTTAAATTTTAATATATTTTAATTATTTTAATTAATAAATATCTTGAACTCGAGCTCGAATACAAATAATCAAGTTTTTATCAAATATAAGAATCGAACTTATTTTTTCATATTAATCGAGCCTAATCGAGTTAGCTCGAGTAACTCGATTTTTATTCCGAGTCGAATTCGAATTAAAAAAATAAAATTCGATTGAGTTCGAATTAAGTTTTGAATTTTGAATTTCAAATCAAACTCAAATTTAAACTTAATACTGTATCGATTCATTCAATCGATTATGCTCCTATTGTCAATAACCTACTGCTTTAAAGTAACCAATAAAATAATATGCGAATTAAAACAAGTTTCACAAATATATATATATATATATATATATATATATTATAAAATAGGCGCGTAAGTAGAGATTACTTGATCTCCAATTCTAAGTCTTATATCATTTCATAATTTTTTAAAAATTATTTCATCAAAAAATTGTTGGCATTTGATAAAAATTTAAAAAAAAACTGATTTATGATTTTTTTAGATATTCACTTATAATATTGATAAAAAAATTATTGATAAATTTATTAATTGTTGATGAAAAAAGTATTTAAAAATTTTTTTTGATGAGTGTGGAAAATTTTTTTAATTTTTTAATTTTTCAATCTTTTGAATGTTCATAGAAAATTTTGAAGAAAATTTTAGAAAAATTTTAAGAAAAATTTTTTCTTCAAGTTTTTTATTTTTTAATTTTTGGGTAGATCCACCTATGAAAAAAGATTTCATTTGTAAAAATTTGAATCTTAAATTTATAAAATATTATTTTTAATTATATAAATTAATTGAATTAAATCTGAAATTTAATTAATATGAAAAAGACATCATGATGTTTAAACTAAAACGTAAAGTGCTGGATTTGGATCAGAAGACATGACTCGATTTTGTTTAGTACATTAAGATTAATTTCTAAAGTCTTGAACAACAATAAATGATTTAAGTTTTATTATTTTTTAATAGCTCATCAATAAGTGATTGATTAGATCAGTTAAAATTTATTTTTTTTACGAATAAATTTTAAATTCGAATCTTATAAGTGATCATTTTTTGAAGTAATTTTGAATGCATAATTTACAATCACTTATCATTTAATTTTTTATGAATTTATTAAATTTAATATAAATAAATTTATTTAAATCGATCCGAAACTTGAACCCTTTACCACTTAGAAATTTAGCAGTGAATGATCAAAATTTACATGTTAAAATCAAGAATGATCAAAATCCTGAATGTGAACGTTTAACCTTCTAAGCCAAATAGAGTGAGAAATCATGTGGAAGACATCATATCTTTTGGGAGTTGCATTCACCACAAAATGTCTTTGCACTTGTTTCACTCTCATTTGCATTCTCAGATACTGCCTCTGAGAAATGCCCATCAGGATCTTTTTGATGTTAGGGATGTCCTTGACAGGAACCTGAACTGAGAATGAATTCCAATTCAGGACATCACTGAAAGGGGGCACATAGCTGTCTGAAATCAGCACTGGAACACATTCTGCATAGATAGCCTCCACGATTCTTGGGCTTGCCACTTCGTATCCACTCGGGCATAGGCAAAACCTGCTGTTCTTCAGCTTTGACATGTATGAAACTCCCTTGGGAAGTTGGTCGTAGACTTGGACATCAGGGTCCTGTTTGTCTTTCCATTCTTTCAGGAGGAGGTACCTGATGTAGCCATGGAGACGACCAGCGAAAAAGGCAAGAATGGATCGACGAGAGGGGGAAGGACCACCTAATAGCCCTTCCACTTCACCTGTTAAAAGATTGATTTCTGGAAATGAGGCATCTTTTGCGGGATTGAATCCTTCAGATGTGTTTGCATTACATAAAACTCTAATGGACTTGTTGAACAAGTGGGGAACATAGGAGGATGCCCGCGGCCCCTGAAAAATCAAGCAAAAACAATTATTCAAATTCATGTAGTATTCCAGGCTGGATTCAAAAGGTTTGCTTGGACTTGGAGGGCAAACTTACTTACCCAATCATGGCAGGAGAGCATGAAATGGTCGGTTCCAAGGCTTCGATTCCAGTAAGGATGTTTTCTGGCAATGACATCGATGTAGTCTACAACGGCCCGTCCAATGGCATCTGTGTTAAAGGTTTCAGGTTCATAGAGGTATTGAACCAGCATGACAACACTGAATGGAAGGAAATAAACCAATGCCTCATCAGGGTCTTCAGTTCTATAAAATTTTCCCTTTTCCATTTCATGAATGAACCTTCCCTCCGAGGAATATATGCTCCTGCATGGACCGTTATGGAACATCGGTGGCTCCCCTTCCTGGTACACATAAATCTTGAAGAGCTTTTCCATCTCTAAGTAACTCCTAAATTTCGTAAAGATTTATCATAAATTCGTGATAAAAACTAGTTAATAGATAGAGGCTGATAGTCTTGGAATAAGGGAAGAAGTTGCAAGTATTGAGATTTGAACTCCAGACTTGTTGGATGTCATCTCTTAACGATGACTGCTTAAAGTAATTAAACTAAGTTTCAGGTTTATAAATAAAGAAACTTTATTGAATGGAAATACTACCTATGAAAAGCATTTGCATTCCTGTATATAGGGCCATGAGGCACATAATGGGGGTCTTGATGGATCGATGTCAAATTCCTAACTCGAGCAGCCTCTTTTATGGAGGATCGAACCCTTGCCAAATTTGCTTCAAGCCTGTCCAACTTGCTGTTTCTCTTTATTACAACTCTTGTCGTGGATGAAACATCAATTTCTCCACATTCGTTATTCTTTGACATGTTCTGCTTTTGTCCACCCAGAACCAATACCAAAAAGACTTTTTTCAGTTGGAATTTTAGTGTCAAAGTGAAATGAAACCAAAACAAAAAAGGAAACATAAAAGGTTTAAAAAGAAATTCTTACAAGTTGAACCGTTTCTCTCTCAATAAATGCAACTGAAAAGGACTTATTGGAGGCAAAATAATCTGTTTCAGCTTCCAGGAAAGAAGAATCTGTGGAGAATCCTTTGGAGAAGGAACCATTGTTGTTGGAATCGTTAGTTGCAGTTCCTTCAATTAGTGAAGAACGATAAGAAGCAAAAGAGTCAAATCGCCATGTCCAAGGAGCAGACAATGGAGACAAAGAAAAGGGCTGAGGGGTCAATGTAGAAACAAGAACTGAAAACACAACCAAAGGGATAACCAGGAATAAAACCAAATTCCATGAAGAAGACCAGATAAATAAAGCACTATGACAATGAGGCTTGTCGATAGGAGGTGTCATAATGATAACTTTAACAATCTTTCAATAAAATTCTGTGTTCAAACTTGTATCAGAAACTGAAAACAATTTCTGAATTAGTAAGTGGAGGTGGGATTCATTTCTTGATTGCAGGTTATTCCTTCCTGCTACTCTCAGATATTCTCGAAAGGAGGCTCTGCGACTACAGCCTTTTTAATTAGTATAACGTTCACCGTGCACCTAATGGAGTTTATATATATATATATATATATATATATATAAGTAATGAAGTTTCTTTCAATCGACGCATCCTCTTTTGATTCCAAGTTGGCTCAATTTATTAGGATATGAATTTGCGTATCAGTACCGTAGCTTCTAGAAAGAAAGTGCAAAAGTGCATTTTTTTCAATTTTTTTATTTTTATAAAGGAGATTGTAACTCAAAAATAAGAAAAAAAAAATTATAAATGCTATAATTTTATCCTCAAACCTGTTAGATTATGTGTCACATTCCCATTGCACTCTTTTTACAAAATTAACTTATTGGAGTATGTAGCGACACCGTTTATAAGTCCAACAATTTTTTTTTCTTATTTGATACGAAATTGAAATATTTTATCTATTATTTTAAAATATTTAGCATGATATTTTTTTTCACTCAATCTCATAATTTTTTTGTTACAGTTGTTACCTTGCCTGTTTTATTTGGATTGTTTAGTGTGGTTAAACTTTGTCACGATATTTTACTCTGACACCTTATTAAGTGGTCAAATTAATTCACTCTTTAACGTTTTGCATGAAGTCAAATGAGTTAAGAATTTAATTTTGATATTACTTATCATGTGATTATTACTTTCTTCTTGCAAAACCAACTTATCAAGATGTGCAGTGCAATAACAAAAGGAATATACAAGCATAATGTGAAATTTGATTCAAAATCCATTATTAAATTTGATAATTTAAAATACGATACAATGACATAATATAAATATGATACAAATATAATACACAAAAGTGACATAACTTGAAATTTTAATAATAACTATATTTAAGTTTAATAAAATTAAAAATATATTTTATATTTTCGTACTGACAAATTATAATACGAAATTTTTATATAAAATATAATAAAAATATATGAATTTTAATATTTTATACAATATAAATACATTAATAGTAAAGATGGTATTACCCATGCAAGTTCTCTATGGATCATTCCTTCTATTTACATTTATTTTTGGGGTCAAATTTCATTCTATTGAATTGCAAGTTGTTGTAGGAATGAAGTTGATCCCAAGAGAGGCAGGAAGAAGAAAATATATGAGCACCAGGGATCACTTCAGTCAATGAGAAGATCGATCCGGTGATTCAAAGCATCAATTCCCAATGGCCCAAATCTTTTACTCACCAATAAATTCTATCACTAGGCAGGGGGGAGCCTTGGATCTGAGTTCAGGGGCCGTCGCCATTACGGACATTGGTGCATAGAATTTAGAAATTACGCCCATTACTCTTCGGGACTTGAGAGAACCTAGATTAACTCACTTCTACGCAACCAATGTTTGACGATTCCAGCACAACATATTGAGCATAATTTTTAACTAGATATATTAATTTAAAATATAATAAAAATACGATATAAAAATAAAATATAAACGTGACGTGAATTAAAATTTTAATAATAATTATATATGTATTTAATAAAATTAAAAATATATTTTATATTTTTATATCGATACAAATTACAACACATAATTTTTATATAAAATATGATATAAATATATAAAATCAATATTTTACATAAAATAATTATATGAATTATTAAATCTAATTTTAACCGTGAATAATACTACCGTGATAAATGAAGCAAACATCAATGCACGTTCCAATTTCTTTTTTAAAAAATTTAACAAAAATAATGGAGACAACTATTAAAAATAATAATACAGAGTCTAGTTTGAACTCACTCGCATTTAGGCATCGTCTAATGTATTGTCTATTTTGAAAATTTTATGATATTCATGATTTTATCTTTTGAAAAAAAAAAATCTTCGTAAAAAAGGTGGACTCTTTTAATCTGCAATCTAATCTTTAATTATTAAAAATTTGAGATTCTTTCCTTTAACAGCCTTGTTAATTTAGAAAGTAAATTAAACATTGGACAAATTAAATTGAAAGATTATGAGAAAATAATTTTTTAAAAATTCATTAGATCTGTTGTAAAATTTACTTGAATTGAGAAAAAAAAAAACCCTTTATCACTTAAAAAATGTTAAACTTCAATGTTGTTTAGGAATCAAATCCACCTAGTTACTGCTCCTATCATTAAAAAACTCTATGAACAAAGAACCCTTGCTTAAAAACCAGACAAAACACTTAGCCCAAAAGAGAAACCAAAGAATCAAAGCCCAAGAGAAAAAGAAAAATTCCCCTGCATTGTCCTTTAAATCCACCTAGCATCATACTTTTCTTTTGACGTGGCAAGATCATAAGCTATCAATCATTATACTTTTCATTTATACCTGAAAGTCTTTGTTTTGTTTTGTTTTTTTTTTTTTTTTCATTTTTGTGTCTGTAAAACGTGTTAGTGAAATGTAAATAAGCTAGTATCAATTTCATGGTGGTTAGAAAATCTACATTTTTGGGTTAAGATGCAATGGTCAAAGTATAATTTCCATTAAAAACTGTCTGTTGTTGAGTACGCAAACTGACTGACTGTATATAGCAAATAGGTTTGAGGACATTATCTTGACCCCCTTGTTTCGGACAACTTTTGGCTTACAACCTCTAGGTGGAGATTTTTCCTCCATGGTGAGACCAACTTTCCTGCCTGTTCCCTCATTCTGTCTCTTTCCCTGAAATCACAGCTTCTGGCAAATAACCCTTCATTTCATGCTCAAAAAATCCGTCAGTAATCCGTCACTGTTAGGCAAAATCAGTGACAGAAAATTGGCAATAGATTCTTGTATCCCATCAATCATCAGCTAAGATCTCAGGCAAGGTAATGTGATTTTTTTTTTTTTTTGCCCATCGAGGGTATATGATCAGTCCTGGAAACCATTTTGAGGATCAGATGCAGTAGGACTGCATCATTATAGGTTTTTCTGTGCTACATCTTGAGAGAAATAAGAGATTGGATATCCTATCTGAATGCAAAGCAAGGGTAACCATAAAATTGCATTACAATGGCATTTCGTTTCCCCATGAGAGCTCAGTCAGTTAGTAGTTCAGCATTTTTTGCAGAGAGAATAACCGAAGAACCTCATCATCACACAAATAATAAAAATTCTCAAACCACGGTCACGTTGGTGTACCAAACCAATATAGTAGGCTACTGGCGTAACGTTACGGTTATGTGGTGCAAGAATCTTATGAATCATTCTCTCAGCATTATGGTCAATAGTATTGAAGGAGATTCTCATTACAGTTGCAAGATTGATCTTAAGCCTTGGCATTTCTGGAGCAGAAAAGGATACAAATCCTTTGAGGTTGAAGGAAACCAAGTGGATGTCTACTGGGATCTTCGTTCGGCTAAATTTACCAGTGGCCCAGAACCAGTAGCAGGTTATTATGTCGCCCTTGTTGCCGATGAAGAGGTGGTGTTGTTGTTGGGAGATTACAAGAAAAAAGCATACAAGAGGACGAAATCGAGACCAACCTTGGTTGAACCTCTACTGTTTTACAAGAAGGAGAACGTGTTTGCCAAGAAGAGTTTTGCAACCCGAGCTAGATTCGATGAAAGAAGAAAAGAACATGACATTCTTGTTGAGAGTTCAGTAACTGGGTTAAAAGACCCTGAAATGTGGATTAGCATGGATGGGGTTGTGTTGGTTCACGTTAGGAATTTGCAGTGGAAATTCAGGGGTAACCAGACTGTTTTAGTAGATAGGCAGCCAGTGCAAGTGCTGTGGGACGTGCATGACTGGTTGTTTAGTAGCCCTGGAACAGGCCATGGCTTGTTTATATTCAAGCCAATTGCGGCTGAAGCAGACAGTGATAAAGAAGGCAGTAGCCACGGAGGAGACAGTGATACCAGCACCGGCAGCAGGTATTATTCTACAAAAAGCCCCACCAGGACATCCGAATTCAGCCTGTTTCTTTATGCATGGAAGATTGAGTGAGATTCAATGTCGTGCATTTTGCAATTTCCACACACACACGCACGCACAAAAAAAAAAAGCCCTTTTGCAGGCAATTTTCATGCATGTATATTCTTAAAGTAATGTAAATTGTACACTTATAATTTCTTTAAAATGAAAGTCAATGAAGCAGATAGTCTTGCTTGTTCGTATAAGCCTTTGCAACCTGCATAAATCTCCTTGTTCGTACACATCTCTTATTTGATACATACTCGTACCTAACTAATGTTCACTGTCCAGTCCGAATAACATAATACAATAGATGTATGTGTCTAATGTTCATTCTCGAGTTCGAGCAACATAATACATGGGAGAAGCGAGGAAGTACAATGTATTAAACCCTTAATAGAATCCTTCTTTCAGCTATTATTTTCTGATATTCAGGAGATTCTACTTTGTTGTATTATGGGATACACTGGTTATAGTTAGGATTAGGCCAGGAAGCAATGGTAATCAAGCAATGGTAATCAAATGTTGAATGGCCGAACTACAGAAAAACTTGTGAGTTCAGTTCTAAAGGTCCTGAAGTTTACTAATAAAAACAAGCCAACTATAAAACTAGACCTAAAACACGACACGATGATATGATACAAATAAAATATATAAAAATAATACGATTTAAAATTTTAAAATAATTATAAATAGATTTAATAAAATCAAAAAATTATATTTTATATTTTTATATAATATCAAATTATAATACGTAATTTTTATATAAAACACGAAATATAACACAACTATAATATTTTACACGATCTATTAGCAAAACCCATTATGGAGTTTTATAACGTCTCCTCAATGCAGGTTACTGATTAGCGCAAACATCAGTTTTAACTTAAGTCACCGTATGCCCTTTTTCAAGCAGATTATATACCTGAGACATAATAAAAAACAATAAATGTAATTTAGATTTGATAATTTTAAATATAAAATAGTGAAAAAAATATGAAAATAATATAAAATATTAAGTTGTCATGATTTAAAATTTTAATAAAAATTATATATGAAATTAATAAAATAAAAAATTCTAAAATAATATAAAAGTCTTTAAATTTTATTACTTTATTTAAATAAATCATTATATTTTTATTACAAAGTATTACATCTAAATAAATTCTTAACTTTTATTTTGCATCAAAGTAAGTTTGTAACATTTATGTTATACTCAAATAAATTTTTAAATTTTTAATTTGTATCTAAATAAATCATTATTCTTTAATTTGTATTTAAATAAGTTTTTAACATAAATTAATTATTTATTTGAAAAAAAGATATACTTAGGTACAAATTAAATGAGTTTATTTTGATACAATAAAAATGTAATGATTTATCTAAATAAAATGATAAAGTTTAAGATTCTTGTAATATTTTAACCATCAAAAAATTATATTTTATGTTTATTTTCTTACATAAATTGTAACACAATAATTTTATATTTTATATGTATTAAATATGAAATAAAAAAACACAAATATAAAAATTATTATATTTAATTTTATCTAGGAGTGATAACGGTTTAGATCGAATCGAATTTTGTCTAATTTTTTCGAATATTTTATAATATTATAAATTTTTAAAATTTAATCCGAATCGAATTTTCATACGATTTAAGTTAAACCAAATTGAATTTTATCAATTCATTTTGGTTCGGTTTATTGGTTTTTAAATTTTAAATTTTTTTAAATTTTTATATATTATTTGAATATAAAAATTTAATATATTTAAATAGTTTTTGATGCAAAATTGTTATTTTTATTTTATAAAAATTTAAAAATATATAATTCAGTTTAAATTGATTTTTTTTAATTGTTTTTATCTTTTGATTTAAAGTTCGATCCAAACTAATATATAAATTTAATATTCAAATTAAATAAAAAAAAGATATGAACTTAATCAAACATTATAATTTTAAATTAATTTTTAATTTTCTCGATATTTTTTCTAATTCCTCGTCTTATCACATTTTTATAAAAAAAAATAAATAAATAAAAAAGAATGGGCCATTATCTATTTCTTAATATAAATTAATGAATAAAATAAAAGTAAAGGCTGCAAATTCAAAATTCCCGCACGATCTTTCCCGCACAAAGCCACTGGCCACTCGCCACTCCCCACCACACCACATTAAACCCACAAAATTGCACTTCAACTTCTGAACCCTAATTTCGAAAATTCCCCAAAAATTTCCCTATATCCTCCTCGAGAATGGCCTCCAAAGTTCCCGACGAACCGCCCGCAACACGCAGGAAACTGACGAAGAAACCATCGCGTTCAGGAGGAAACGGTCGCGGTGAGTTAGCTTCGCTGACCTCGAGATCACCTCGGTCCACATTTTCAACCGCGACGAAGACTACGAGAACCCGCCGGATTCCACTCCCATGCCAGCCTCTGAACGGGGAAAGCAAGTGCTGGGTCTCTTTAGGGATTCGGCGGATAGTGATGACTCCAACGGTGGTGAAGACAATGAGGATGATGACGACGACACTTTGAGTGCGAGAAAGTCGTTCTTGAAGCCGATGGAGTCGCCCTCTCCCAGTGAAGTAGCACAGTTGGATCTGCTACTTCTAATGATGGTCAGTTTGGGTTGTATTGTCAATTTTTAGTAAGCATTTGTTTTAGTTTGACAAAATTGAGGGTTATATTAGTTTAGTCGTGATTTGGTTGTTACTTTCGTTAGTTACTTTCAGTTTTGGGAAGCAAAATGCGGAAGTTGCGACTTTGATATTGATTCTTCAAAAAGCAAAAAGCAAGTAGTAGAGCATTGACCAAACAGAGCCTAAGTAATCCGTCATTACTTAATATTTTCTGAGATAGAGAAGTATTTATGTTCTGTTTATAGGAGAAATCTAATGATTGAAGCTATTGAATAGAATGTTTAATGTTAATAAATGCCATGTTTTGAAGTGTTTGTTTAAATATCTTGTTGGAGAGGGCAACTTTTTTGGACCTGTATCTGCAAACTTTATTCGACCTGGAAGGTTATCTGATTCTGCTGCTTCAGATGATAACCATGATATCACGATGGATTCGTCGGCATTTTCGTTGCACTTTCGTAGCATTGTGCGATCAGAGTCAGGAGATCTCAATATTTCAACAGGAGTTCATCTTGCATCTGAAGAGAAGACGCCTTTCAAGCTACCATGCCTTCTAATTCGGAAAGTTTTTTGGTGTTAACAAAGGTAAAGAAGCTAAAATCTCCATCTCCTGTGCCTATCAATAAATTTAGTGGTGGTAGTGATTCTAATGACATGAGCCTTGTTGGAGAAAGCATGCATAGGTATGATTATGGAAGGCTCTCTCCCGCATTGGAAGCACTTGTGGCAGAGGGCAGTAAGGAGTTTAATGCCATCCCTGCTTCTGATTCTACCAGTCCAAAGTTATCAATGAGTGAAGTTGCCTTATTTCATGATAATCCAAAAGACTGCATCGAACTCTTACACTATAGGAATTCAGAGCTCTGCAATATTAATAATCAGGATATTTCTGGTAAGGGTGTTTCTATTGCTCAGGACAAACTGGTTGAGGCAACAGGTGATTCAACAACCGCTCTTACTGATCAAATTTTGTGTGACTGCTCATCGAACACAAAGGTTGGTCCAGTTTCTGAAAATTTTGTTGATCACCAATTCTAAACTCCTAATCAGCTGAAGAAAGTATGTTCTCTATCAATCTGATGTTACTTAGATTCCTTTTCTCAATATTTTGGTTATTTTTTTCAATCATTTAATTTGGTAATTTCAGTGAACACAGTCTGTTCTTCTATCAATTGAATGTTACTTAAGATTGTTTTCTCAATGTTTTGGTTATTTTCTTTTTAATAGTTTAATTTGGTCAGTAAGTAGATTTGCATGGGTGGTTTTTACTTGTTACACAATGAGATTCTTGGAGTTGTCATTTATACTATGGTGCTTTCTATCCTAACATCTGCAGAATTGTCTCATTTCTTTTTGAGATTTGGGCTATATAATTCTATTCTATTAGAAATCTATGTTTTAATGCAATGACATGTCATAGATGCAACTATGGGAAAACACTTATTTACAGTTGGTTGTAATCTTGTAATCTGTATATTTATATTTGTATCTCTAGAATTAAGTATTTGTATCCTTAGAATTAATGAATATTTAGTTTCCTAGTTTAACCCCTAGTTAGTTATATATAAACCTAAGATTCTTGTATATTTCAAGATGAGCAGTTTTTCAATATACATTTAGTTTCCACATGGTATCAGAGCTTTAGGCTCTTCTTGGGAAGAAAAATTTTCAGCCTTCATTGTTGACTTTTTTAGGCCTTCATTGCCGAACCCTTTCAAAGAAAGATATCACTATCACTCAATTTGAGGAAATGTTAACTGGGAAAATCACTGGAGTAGTACAAATATCTCAGAAACAAGAAGAGTTCAACAAGGAAGAGATTGAAAAGTTGAGAAACTTATTGAAAATCCTTGAAAAGTCTACTATGGTATGTTCTTTGGGTAAAGTTTCTAGTTCAGGTAAAACTTCCGGTTCTCATGGATTAAATGTCTTGACTAAGTTTATTATGAGTTCTTGGGTTATTGACTCAGGAGCCACAGACCACATGACACATTCCTCACAAAAGTTTAGTACATATAACCTGTGTCCTAGTAATAAGAAAATTGTTGTTGTTGATAGTTCACTTACCACAATAGCAGGATTAGGAGATGTTCAAGTTAATCCCTTGTTTGTTCTCAAAAATGTTCTTCATGTTCTTGGATTGTCTACTAATATGATATTTATATAAAAACTTACTAGAGATATGAATTGCAAAGTAACTTTTTATTCCTCTTATTGTGAATTTTAGGATCAGAGTTCGGGGAAGATGATTGGACTTGCTAAGGAGAAAGATGGACTATACTATCTTGAGACATAAAATAACACAAGTAGTATAAAAAATAGTTTACCTTTGTCATTTCTTTCTGAAAAATCTTCTGATAAAGACAAAATCTAGCTTTATCATTTTCG